TGAACTCGAGTCACCAACGCTATGATATCATGTCATAACTCAACCACTAACCACTGAGTAAAAAGGGCTTGTTAATAGCGGGTCAGTGTGCCCATAGCCCCCCAGGCTCTGCACCTGTGGCCCTTCCCTGAGGATCTTCGCAAGGGTAACCCCAGCGGGTCACTTGATACACTCCCCTTCCCTCAGTTGACTAGGCAGAGGAGTCTGCTGACTCTGGGGCCCCTCAGATTCAGGGTCCGCCGCCTGTTTCTGCGGCGACTGCACCCTCGGCCCCGGTGTCTCCTCTGCCGCTGCAGCAGCAGCAGTCGTCGCCGCAGCAACCGTCGCCGTAGCAGCCGTCGTCGCGGCAACAGCAGCTGTCGCAGCCACCGCAGCAGCAGGGGTCCATGAGCTCTAGGGGTGCGGGTGTCGAGGAGGGTCGTCATTCTGGGGGTGTTGGTGCCGGGGGTGCTTGTCCTGGAGGTACTAGTTCTGGGGGGGCTAGTCCTGGGGGTGCTGTCGTGGCGAGTCCTGGAGGTAGCCGTAGAGCGATTGGAGGTTCTAGTGTGGACGTGGAGTAGCAGCAGTCGTCGTTGGTGTCCGCCCTTTGCCTCATCGGTCTTCCCTCCCCCGACCGCCTGCTCGCGCCTCCCCCGGCGCCGCCTCCTATGCCTGTCTACGGCCTTGTGTTTCCTCCGCCGGACTCATCCCTAGCTGCTCGGCCTTGTGTCTCCTGAGTCTCTGCCTTTGTCTCCTGACCCAACACCCCCCTCCCGTTGGTGGTCTCACCGTGTCCCTCATGCTCGTCCTGTCTCTCATGTTCCGCGTTCTAACCCTATGTTGCTCAGGTCTCACCCTATGTGCCTGTCTCCTCTTTCTGACTTCCTCCGTGCTTCTAGCCCTCTTGTTCCTCGGGTCCTCGCATCTCTTGTTACCGACCCGTCCATTTCTGACTCCAGTCTCTCGGCTCTTGTCACTGCCGTCGCTGACTTTGCCTCTACGTACCGCCTTGACTTCGTCACTGCTCGGGTCTCGAATCCTGTTCGTCCTCCGTCCGTCAGGAATGCACCTTCTTTTGGTAATAACGTCCTATGGGACAGGCAGTACGAACGAGATTTCATGTCTAAGGCCACTCCTCATCTCTGCTCCATGCTGCTAGCCCCTGGGGGTGACCCAGGCACTCTTGACATCCAGACCCCTCGCACCTACGCAGAGGCGACTTTGGGACCCTAGGCTTCTTAGTGGATAGCTGCCATGGACGCAGAGATCGCATCTTGGAGATCCACCGGCACCTACGTCAACGAAGTTCCCTCACTTGGGGCGAACGTAGTTGATGACCGGTGGCTCTTCAAGGCAAAATGCCCTACAGGAGAGCCGCCAATGTTCAAGGCGAGCTACGTTGCTAGAGGCTTCTGTCAGCGCAAGGGTGTGGACTCTTTCAGACCTTCGCCCCGACCACGAAGATGACCACTCTTCGGGCGCTGCTTTACGTAGTAGCACAGCACGACTACGAGCTTCATTCACTGGACTTCTCAACAGCATTCCTCCAGAGCAGTCTGCACGAGCAGATCTACTTGCGCTGTCCGCCAGGCTTCTCTAGCACTTTCTCACTTGCGGGCGAGTGGTTCCTTTGGCGCCCGGTTTACGGTATGCGGAAGGCGCCTCGCGAGTGGCACGACACGCTGCATGCTACACTAGCAATCCTTCAGTTCTTTCCGTCCTCTGCTGACCCGTCAATTTTCGTTCGCTCAGGCCAGACTCCGTTCTACATCCTAGTTTACGTAGACGACCTGTTCTTCGCTACTGTTGGCAGAGACGCACTAGCCTTGGTGAAGTCCGTGCTGCTGAGGAAACACACCTGCACTGACCTAGGAGAGCTGCGCCGCTATCTTGGGCTGCAGATCTCCAGGGACAGAGTAGCGCACATCATCACTCTCACACAGTCACACTTGGTATGCCAGTGCCTTCAGAGGTTCTGCCTTCAGTTCTCCTCCGCACAGCCCATCCCTCTGCCGGTAGATTACAGTGACAGAAACAATTGTCCGTATGTTTTATAGGCTTTAAGATCACTGCACATCAAGCCTTAATGTTTGATGGTGGTACGATTTGGGAGGGGCACATAGTGGATGTGTTTGCAATACAAAAATCCAGAATAGTACATTGGATCTAGCTCATACCCCAAAAGATATACAAAGAGTGCATCCGGACAAATAGTTCCAAGCAGAGAGAGCAAACTTCATAACTGCGTTTCGTGTACCTAGTCCACTGACCCTTGGCCTTGATCACCGCCCGCACCCTCCTAGGCATGTTGTCGATAAAGTTAGAGCAATTCTCGGCATGGATCTTCTCCCATTCTTCTTGGACCCGCTCCCAAAGCTCCAACATTCAAGAGGGAGGCCTTTTATACTTGGCCAGCTCCCTCTTCGGGTAAGGAGTTGATCTTGGTCCCATTATACCACATAACATGCTTCCGAACATTTATTGGCCACTCGGCATGCGACTCCACGAATTGCAGTCAGCCGCAGATATTCTTCCAGAACAGTCGTGGCTTCTACAACTGCTGTACTGCCATTAGACCCGTGGATCCTAGCGAATTTTATAGTGCAAGGGTGCATGCTCGACCGTGCTACGTTACCCTAAGTTTCGCGGTGTCTAGGCTAGACTTGGCCACTCTATTCGTGATTTTACCCTACTTTGGTACAATGAAGATGATTGTGATAAGACGGGACCGACTGGCTAATGACATATTTGGACACGCCTCAGCATGGCTTATCTCAGAGATACCATTCAATCCCAAATCGTCAACAATACTCTTGCCTACGCCTAACTCCTTCGCGATTTTCCTAGTGCCCATCCTCTTATGCAAAATGGTGGGTCGGTGGACTAGGTAATAGAAACACAGTTATGAAGTATTAGGTAATAGAAACCCGTGGATCCTAGCACTCTCTGCTTGGAACTATTTGTCCAGATGCACTCTTTATATATCTTTTGGGGTATGAGTTGGATCCAATGTAATATTATGGAGTTTTTTGTTGTGAGCACATCGACTAAGTGACCCTCCCAAATCGTACCACCATTAAACGTTAAGGCTTGATGTGTAGTGGTCTTACAGCCTATAAACCCAAATAAATGCATAACATACAGACAATTGTTTCCGTCACTGTATAGGCTCTCAGCTCCAGTCCCTGACGAGCCGGTTGAGCCCAGTGGTCAGCTTGTGGGCTACGTGATGTGGCAACAGGCAGACACCGACCCTAGCACTGGTCGGCCGCTAAGACGGTGTTGCGTTATCTAGCAAGTACATTAGACATGGGGCTAGTGCTAGGAGGACGGAGGCCAGTGGTTCTCACAGGGCACACAGACGCTTCGTGGACGGACTACGCTGAGACGCTCAGGTCCACCCAGGGCTACTATTTTAGCCTTGGTGCAGGTGCTATCTCGTGGAGGTCCACCCGCTCGTCGTCTACTGCCCTAAAATCTAGTTCTGAGGCTGATATCTACGCTGGTGCCATGGCGGCACAGGAGCTCCGCTGGCTGACTTTCTTGCCCACAAAGCTTAGGTTAGCGGCCTAGCTCTGCCCCGGTCCTATACGCTGACAACAGGGCTATGATCCTCTTGTGTCAGGAGCCTCGACAAGTGGGCAGAGTGAAGCACATCCAGCTGCGGTACTTCCTCCTGCGCGAGCTACAGCAGCGCCGCCAGGCACGCGTAGTACACTTGGCCACCATTGCCAACACAGCTGATATCTTACTAAGGCGCTTGCGCCTAAAGATCATCAGCGACACTGCTTACAGCTTGGTCTAGTTCCAGTAGCACCTCACTTGCTAGGAACCTGATTGTATACTACTCTTTATATTATCTTGACTGGCCTTGTGACTCTTGTCTCAGAGGCAGGACTAGTAGTGTCGCCTTGGGTTACTCTTGTCTAGTTTGTACTCTTGCTGACTAGTCTTCAGACCCTTGCCTCAGAGGTTGGACTAGTAGTACCGCCCTGAGTTGCGTGTCTCTTGCTAGGAACTGCCCCTTGTCTAGTATAGGGGGTGTGTCAACTTATACATATGCATTATATGTAGAAGTTATAGGCTGGACAAGGTTGTGTTCTTAGAGGATACAATACCAACCCTGTATATCTCTCATGTATTACCTTGTTCTAGTCACTTTATTACTCTGAGACAGGTACTGTTCCACCGCACTGTTGTGGTCTACACACCTCCGGCAAGTTACCTACCATAGAAAGAAAAACTGCATGCTGCTCCGTCTCCTTCCAATCTCAGTGTCTCACATCTTTCCTGAGTCTATGTTCATGGCTACCCTTTCCTGTGGGCCATTGGCTTTTCTGTCTCCTGCAAAATGAGCATTTTGGCATTGTGCCCTTGGAATCCATGGCAGCAGGCAAGCCAGTGGTGGCGTGCAACTGTGGAGGGCCAACTGAGAGCATATTAGATGGCAAGACGGGTTTTCTCTGCACTCCAAAATCTGCGGCTTTTGCTACTGCACTGGCTACATAATGGCCTGATCCTTCTCGGGCTGGTTTCATGGGCCGTGTAGCCCAGCAATTTGTGGAGGAAACGTGTTTTAGGAAGGTATTTGGTGACCTGATGGCAGGAATTTTTCTAGCAATCTGTTCTTAGCTTGCAATAATGTGATGAAAGGTTTTTCAATCAAGCCCAAGCTTGAATGAGATATGCGGTTGGAATTAACCTTGGATGACTCAGAATTTCGTGTTTAAGGTCTTGTATACAATGCTGCTGACTGATAGTGGAATCCATGAAGTTACAATGATCCTAAATAGCTTATTGCAAAAGACGATTAATTGGGCTTACGAAGTCGCTATTGTCATGTAGAGAATATTCACTGCACAGAACCTAAAGGCGTGATCTGTTCCGAACCCCATCTCTTGGGTCTGGGGGGGGACCTGGGATCTGAGGGTAGCTGAAGCTCGAGGGACGAGGAAACCCTAGGGAGTTTGTTACAGGAGTGACAGGCGAGCCTTTGAATGTTTGACCATTGAACACACTCCGAGGCTTTTCACTTCGCATCTCAAGTTTCAGTCTATGGCGGTCTTCGTTCCCTTTCCACACACGCGAGGGTTTGGAAGTTCAAACTTGGAACTTTGAAGTGAGAACGCTTGGACTGCCTTGAAGAGACAGTCCGTGAACCGTAGCATCAGTGTGACGCTTTCTAGGTCTAATTCCCACCCGTCTGTCGATTACTAGTTTCTAAGTCCTAGCCGTGTGACACTCCCTAATTCCTCGCCGTGTGCTATCTAATTCCTAGCATTGTGACGCTTCCTAGTTCCTGGCTGTGTGACACTCCCTAACCGTAGTTTGAGACTAAAGTTCAGTCTTTCGCTTTTGTCTTCGCCTCACCAATCCCGCGTTTCGAACTCTACCTGACCATCGGAAGTACCAGCGTACCAGAGCAGCAGGAAGCGGGTTGGAAAAAAATAAAAATAAAAACCGAGGAAGCGATACAACAGCTTCTACTCCTAAGCGACTCCAACATCCTTCCAGAGATCAATCAGTCGTTACAAATGGACGGCAATCCATACGGCCATCATCATCGCCGTCATCACCGTCGGAGCCAGCTTCCCTATGCCGACCCACAAGCTCTCGGAGCCAACGACGACTTCACCTCCCCATGGCCACCGGCTGCTAGTGGTGTTCCCGGCGGCGGTATCGCCGGCGGTATCGCTGGTAACATTGCCGGCGGTATCGCTGGTAACATTGCCGGCGGTATCGCTGGCGTGTCCCCCGCTTCCGCCTCCACCGCTGTTTCCATCTCCCAGTTCCTCCCCACTCACTCGCCGGTCGTTTCCGCCTTCGGCGCAGCTCGTTCCGCCGCGGAGCATTCCGCGGGCGCCGTGCAGCCGTTTCTGCGGAATGAAGCGCATTCTTCCGCGCCTTCCGCGCAGTCTGCTCTTGAGTTCGCCCTGCTTGAATCGCAGCTGCTATCCGCAGTCGCGCAGCAAGCGTCGCAGCAGCAGTCTCAGCAACCGTCGCATCTGCTGTCGCAGGATGTGTATCAGGAAGAGCAGTTGAGTCACCAGGCGCCCTCGCGGCGAAGTCAGCATCAGCCGCAGCAGTTCCAGCAGCAGCAGCAGTATTCTTATCAGCAGCAGCAGCAGCAGCGGCAGGGGGAGCAGCAGTTTTTGCAGCACCAGTTTCAGCTGCACGAACAGCAGCAGCAGCAGCAGCAGCAACAGCCGCAGCTGTTCCAGCAACATCTCTTCCAGCAGCAGCCGCAGCAGTCGCAGCAGCAGCAGCAGCAGCAGCAGCAGCAGCAGGCGCCAGTAGCGGATCAGCAGCAAGTGCTTCAGTATCTCGTGCAACAGCAGCGAAACGTCCAGTCGGCCACAAACTGGCAGCAGCAGCAGCCGCAGCAGCAAGGGTACGAGCAGCAGGGCCCATCAGAGCCGTACCAGCAGCAGCAGGTTTACCGGCAGCAGCAGGTGCAGCAGCCACAGGAGCAATTGCAGATTGAGCAGCAGCAGCAGGTAGATCAGCCGTATTTTCTCGAGTTCATGCAGCAGCAGCAGCAGCAGCAGCAGCAGCAGCAGCAGCAGCAGCAGCAGCAGCCACATGATCAGCAGCAACCGCAGTTGCCGCAGGAGCAGCAGGAGGTGGGGCAGCATGCAGAGGAGAACGAGTTTCAGACCCAACAGCTTCCGTTCTACACCCAGCAGCAGCATGAAGGGGCGGCGGAGGATGAGGAGGGGGAGGAGGAAGACGAGGAGGAGGAAGAGGAGGAGGTTGACGGGGAGTATCAGGAGGAGGAGCAGCAGCACGAGCTGCAGGGAGACTTGTCCCTTGTAGGCTCGGCAGTGGCAGGCTTGGAACTTGTAGGTTCGGCAGTGGCTGACCTAGCAGCGGACGGAGCAGACGCGTTTGATCTGGACGAGGTTGAGGTGGCTCGACTGGAAGGGGAGGCGGAGGAGGGGGAGGGAGAGGGACAGAGGGTTGAAAGAGGAGTTGGGTTTGAGGGGGATGGGGACCGTGGTGGGAAATTGGGTGTGAAAGAGAGCAGGAAGAGAAGCCTGGAGGAATTGGACCAGGAGGGGGAAGAGGAGGAAGGGGATGAGGAGGTAGACGGAGAGGGAGAGCAGGAAGGAGAGGAGGTGACGGAGGAGGATGGAGCGAGTGATGAAGCGTCTCTCGTCCGCCCATCCTTTCGCACAACTCCCTCCCCTCTCCTCTGCTCCGAAGCAGACTTCCAGAAGCTCTTATCCTGCATCGAGACCGCTTCTAACGAGGACGCCATAGCCATGGTTCTCCTGCTCCTTCTGGAGGAGCAGCGTGCCGCCAAGGAATCCTCCTCCTTCCTGAAACGGCTCCGAGTGATTCGCGCAGAGTACAACCTTCGCCACCACTCCCTCGTCCGCTCCATCCAGCTCAATCTGAATCGAGATGTCGCAGACAATGATGCGATCTGCCAGCAGGAGATCCAACGGCTGAGGCGCGTCTGCGAGGCTGGCATGACAGCTGGCGCGACGCTTTCGCAGCACCAGATGGTCCACACGCGGATCTGGACGCGTCCACGCTCCCGCGCCTGGTGGGAGGAGTGTATTGACCCGAGTTACCCTTCGGAAGCGTTCCGGAAGGCGTTCCGAATGAGCCGGGAGACGTTTATGGAGCTCTGTGGCATGCTGGGACCGCTGATTGTGAAAAAGTCAACCAAAATCAGGAAAGCAATTTCCGTGGATATTAGGCTTGGAGCTTCGCTCTGGCGCCTGGCCACAGCCGAGCCTCTCCATCTGATCTCCAGGAGGTTTGGGCTTGGGCAGACCACCGTGCATTTCGTCTCTAATGACGTTCTCAAGGCGCTGAACGAAGTTGTTCTGCCTAAGGTTGTCGTTTGGCCCGAGCTGGGCAGTGCTCGGGCAGCTGAAATTTCATCCAAGTTTCTCGAAGTGTGCGGGTTGGATCACGCCTCTTCTGTAGCTCAGCAGCTGGGGAACGGGCAGCTGATAGGAACGCTCTACACCACGCACCTCCCCATCAACACGCCGCGATCGAACCTCGCTAAGTATCACAACAAGCAGCACACAGAGCGGTTCGCCCGGCCATCCTACTCCATCGCCATGCAGGCAGCTGTTGACGCGAAGGGGCAGTTTTTAGACCTTTGCATTGGGCTGCCCGGAGCGCTTTCTGATGAAGAGGTCCTGCAGCAGTCGACTCTTTACCAGAAAGGGCAGGCTGGGGATTTGAAGGGAGCGAAGCTGATTGGCTCTCGGTCTTACCCTCTCCAGGATTGGCTGCTGGTCCCGTACGGCCAATCAGACAGCGCCACATGGTACCAGACCACGTTCAATGAGTGCATCGAGAAGGGGACTGCAGTGGGAAAGGACACGATTGGCCGGCTGAAAGGGCGATGGAGGATTCTGCTGAGGCGGGCGGAGGGGAAATTGCACGAGTTACCCCGTTTGGTGGGGGCATGCTGCGCGCTGCACAATTTCTTGGAGCAGAAGGGTGAGGCGTTTGACCCTGACTGGGCGTACGACGCCTTTGATGACTTTATTCCTGCGAAGAGGGCGGATGAGGAGTCGCCGGCTGCAGTGGCGGAGAGGGATGCGCTGGCACAGAGCATGTTCCAGGCTGTGCACGGGTGGGAGGGGGATGCTGCCAACACGCTCTGAGGTGTGAAGTGTGGATGCGAGGAGTTGCAGGCAGGCCCTCAGATTCGTTTTAGGCCATGCTGATTGATCAGTGTCGATCTCAAAAAACACCCTGAAAATAAGTTTTTGGTAGTGGTTTTCTTACGGGTTGGCCCTGGTTCTTTCGTTTTCAAGGCTGATTCATCAGGGTCGGTACAAGAGAACACCCTGAAAAAAAAGCAAGATCTGCGAAAAAAAAGCCTGATAATACATACAAATATATGTATAGGTTGACAATAGATGTTCTGGTTGATGGTCTGCAACTTGCATGGCGTCCCCCAGGATTTATCTGCTGTTCCGTGTGCTGGTAGATCTTGGTTCAGTGGTATCCATTCTGAACGATTACTATGGACTGCTGCTGCTCATGGGTGCTTGAGTCAGTGGCAGGTGCAAATTCCCTACTGTACAGAAATGTATTACACTGAGAGGCCCTAGATTTATTGTTACAACGGAAATCATCTCCTGCCTCCAGAGCCCTCTGCTCCTTGCTTGAGCTGCAGCAGCACCAGGGACAACAAAGATAACAGGGTAAAACGATTCATGAGAACAGAATCTCCTAAGGCAGCAGGCAACATCCATGCATGGAGATGTAGAGGTTGGTCAAGAAAGACGAGGGAGGAGGAAGGGAGGGAGGGATACGTGCAAGATGGAGATAAACCAGAAACACTAGCTGTAGGGAACGGCAATTGGTACCTGTTCACTGAATTGTTTGACCTGCTCCATTAGCGACTCCCGCTGCGCCACTCCTGAAACGTAAACACGATTGACGGTACACCAACACGGCATGAGAAAGAGAGATCTCTAATTCTGCTAGAGAGAGCTCAAACATGACTTCCTCCCTACCTTTCTGCGCCAGCTCCTGCATCTTCTTGTTGGATCTGACAGCAAACCGCTGGAACGTAGGGCTGTTCGCTAACCGATCAACGATCAGCTCGTTCGCGACGTACTGGATCACACGCTGGAGCCACGGACCTCCCGCTACCATGGTTATAGACTAGTGGCGTGTTCAACACGCTACGGAGAGCCTACGATTGACGGAGGAAGCAATTGAGGAAATGAACAGTCCTCTTTATTGGCAGCACCAAGCTCCGACTCTGTATGATAAAAGAATGTCGAATACGTGACTGTGTGGTGGATGTAGTGGCCTAATGACAATTGTGGTGTCAGAAAAATGAAGGCGGGGAGCTAGGTTGGTAGCAATAACAGAACTAGTACAAGACGCAGCAGCAAGTCCGTCGCAAAGCAGGTGCGGTGGAGAAAGCTTCCTGAAAGACAGGAGCACCAGCAGGAATGGAAGGGAGCTTTGGTGCATTCTCGAAGCAGGGGAAGGGGGAAGCTGTTTGGAAAAAAAGTGGCGGCGGGCAGAACGAGTGTACAGAACTACGCGTTTGTCGTTTCCCAGAAATGATGGCCGATCCCGGAGAGAATGTCAGACCCTAGGTCAACCCGCGGCCGAAGGATCCGCAGGCTGTCACAACCTAACTGCCGGTTTTATATACTTGACGGTGCAGCGGCTGCACAGACATGAATTGTCGCAAGGGAAGGGTTGCGACTATACTGGCCGAATTTTTGCGAGTCCACCAGAAATGTGCGAGTTTATGATTGGTGAAAGTTCATTTGCACGACATTGTTAGTTGTTCGCTTTCACAGCTGACTGGCTGGACCCGTCAGTTTTTCGCAAGACCCGAGGCAGATTTTTTTCAGCCTCGGATCTTCCCGCTAAACCCTCGGGTCTAACACTCGCTGCGCAAACACCCTGAAGCTCGAAACTTTGGGCGGCGGGGTGCAGGGAAAGTTTTCGTTGCGGGCATTCCTTTCGTGTCAACAAATTTGCCGAAGCCTATCTGTGAAGCGGGCATTCACCCACCCCAGCAAATTCACCCAACTCAAGACAGCTCTCACAAGTTCGGGACTCATTCAACCATACAGTGCAGGACACTGCTTTTCTTTCACCACCGACTTGCCTTGCACCATTTCCCCAGCTCTCCGCTCTTGTCTCCATGGGAACACACGAGGGAGCTCTGGTGGCTCACGCGGCTGCGCTTAGAGCGGCCCTTGCAAACTCTCAGGACATGACAGATAACATGATATTCACCTTAGATTCATTCGACGAGCGATTGTCGGAGTTGGAGCGTGGAATCAGGCCCGTACAGGTAGATTCATTACGACTCTTACACGCTCAAAGTTTCCTTGCGGTTTGTTAACACGTTTCTAGTGCAGGCGTCCACAAGACACCACCAAATCATCCACAGAAACGTTACCAAGGCGCTTGACTCAGCAACCTTCATGATCGAGCAGTACGAGAAGTTTCGTGAGGTAAAACGTTTACAGCCTCGTTGGTTTTCGATGAACTCTTGAGAATATCACACGATCAGGTCGCGAGGATAATTGAAGGCGGCGGGTCTCTTGACTTGTTGAGGTACAGGCAAGCGTTAGATCGGTTGGCTGGCATCATCGCCTTCTTCGAGCGACATGCGGAACAGGAAGATGCTTCGCATGCACTGTCCTGTGCAAAGAAGCTCATTCAAGAAGGAATACGGAACATGAAAGATGCGCTCAGGAAGGAACTGCTGGAGTTGTACGTCACTCTTTCACATGCTGTTCATCCGCGCTGATGTTCTCCCGTTATGTCATGGCTCCTCCACATCGACCCGCATAATCCTTGTGTTCTTCACAGGAACGATGCTCACGTGTCCGACGCCGTCATTGAGAACACTGAGAGTTCGGCTCTAGTCTCTCGCCTTGTGGGTTTGGTGCAAGCGCTGGTGAAGCTGGGCTTCGCGGATGACTGCGTCAAGATATATGTGTGAGACACGCATTCCCTATCTTTCGAATTGGAGGCGAGACGGCGATTGTAAGTTGAAACTTACTGATGTTGGTTTTGGGCAGGGATGTACGGCGAACCTGTGTTGAAAAGTTTTTGCAACACTCTCAGATTGACTGGAAGTCTTTGAAATCCGTTGATCCTGTTTCCTTGAAGTGGAAAGACATGGAAGGGAAACTTCATAGTTGGATGGACATGTCAGCTGTTTTGGTCAGTATAGCCACTTCATGTCCCCATGCTTCGTCTTTGGATGTGTTATTGACGTGCTTTGTTACTATGACAGACAGGCACAGTGATGACCACTGAGGGCCTCTTAGCCAAGAAGGTCTTTCGAGGGATGGATGTCTTGGGGGCGAGAGCCAAGACAGGAGCTTTGGCTTACATCATGGGAATCCTCGTTGACACTGGAGTTACCTTTACCAGTGTGCTCAAGTCACCTGAGAAGCTGTTTGCCACACTTGACATGTACGAGGTTACAGAAGAGCTTTTGACACAGGTGAGCGTTTCCGTCCGCTCTTTTTTGTACTTTCTTCCACCAGAGGAATCTGAGGTGTCACGCTTTGCCATAAGGTCACGCTGGAGAAGTGGGACGACCTTGTGAAGCGAGTTTCTTCGTTAAAGGAGAAGATATGTCTGGTGACTGTTCAGACCATTCATCAGCTTGAAGCAGCTATTGATCATGATGACAGCAAGCAGCTCCCGAGCGGCACGGTCCACCCACTTACCAGCTATGTGATCAACTATCTGAAATGCAGTCACGAGTAAGGCATCAATTGGTTGCTTCAAGGTTATTTCTTTGCTATAACAACGGTTGGAAAATGCAGGCGCTCTTTGGTGTTAGAGCGGATGTTTGCAGAAGTGGAGAGAGGGCCTGGCTCTTTTTCACAGATTATGCACTCCATACTTGAAATGTTGTTGAAGAACCTGGACAAGAAGGCCAAGCAATACAAGGATTCCAGCCTGGGTTGTGTCTTCCTGATGAACAATGTGCATCATATTGTGCAACAAATTCAGAGGTGGGCTCATTATGATTATCACTTCTTCAAAAAGGTATGAATGTGCTTCTTGAGGACAAAGTTGTTGACATTTGCTTGTTTGAAATTTAAACACCAGGTGGGAGCTTCAGGGAGTTATTGGAGAGGTGTGGGTCCAACAGAAAAATGTTTCCGTGCAGCAGCTAGCATCAGCCTATAGACGTGCTGCTTGGAGCAAGGTAGTTCATTTTCGCTTCCTGAATGTGGTGACAGCATATTCAGATGTGACCTTGAGTGCAGGTATTCAACATTTTATCACTTAATGGAGATCCAAACGATGCAGTGCAAGTAGACTTGCAAACTATCACGAGAGCCATGATTAAAGACAGGTATTACTCTTACGTCTAATGGATACCTGTGGTAAAAAAGGCCGTCCTTATGATGCCATGGTGCACTTCTTTGCAGGCTTAAGTTGTTCAATGCCACTTTTGAGGAGATCATTGCAAAGCAGCGGCTTTGGGCCATTCCTGACTCTGAGCTTCGTACAACGGTCCAGCTTCTTATTGGAGAGGTGGTTGTGCCGGCTTATCAGTCATTTCTCTACCACGCCAGGTCTGGATCAGGGGCTTTCCTTCCGTTACCAATTAATTGGTCAATCTGCCACATACTTAGTTAGTCCCTCACGCTGCTAACCTGATTCTCTGTGCAGATCCAAAGTGGATCAGCAAGGTCGTATGTTTCCTGGCTCGAAGGACCCTTTGGTCAAGCACAAGAAGTACAGCTTGGAAGAAGTAGAGGGCATGATTGGAAAACTTTTTCAAGGGCACTCTGAGCAGCTCTCAGGGACGTAGTGCGAGGAGTCGACAGGACACTCGTCTTAATTCCACCTCAAAGTTTTGCACCAGCAAGTAAAGCCCATTGTAGTTACAGTATGAGCTTCTTATAATTAAGTATGAATTACACATATCCAGACCAGATGTGTTATTGAAGCAGTCTGCCTAAGGGAGTATATTTCACATCAGGTGGGTGGAGCTTCAGTCACACGTACCGTGGTTTTCATTGCAATGCATGCTAGCGCTCCTTTGTCTGGTTTCGTCCACGTGTGCGCTTGCCTTCTTGTCGCCATGGATCCTAGGACCGTCAATTCCACCGCGACTCACCTCGTAACATGCAGATTAGCAGATGCGACGCGTGTTACAGCTCCTTTCCCAGGACTGGGTGGCAAACATCCACGCGCGACTAAGTGGCCAGTTCGCCACCCCAGAAGCGCACGCGCACGCTGGGGCTACATCGGACGTGTACTCGAAAGGAGGGATGGCATCCGACAGGCCATTCTTTAGAAAGTCGAAAAGACTACTCCCTTTCGAACGACGTTGGATCATCCGCAGCGAAGCTTTCTGCTTGTTCTCTCGAGCGTGCGATTGTTCATGTCTTCGATTTCCACGTGTCACGTGACTCGGGAACTTCCGGAGGTTCTGACGCAGTCCTTCAAGTGCTTCCACGTGCGCTACAAACGGTGGCACACGCGGCCACTTCTCGCAAGCTGACGTTGTCTTCTGTAGGCGCATGCACATGCCGCCTCCGATTCTTTACAATGGATCTGGACGGCGGCGTGAGTTGTAAGGATTGCCGTCCACCTCTCAAGCGAGATATTTTTCTCCCTTCCAGCAGGATAGTTGAACAACTGTGAGAGAAACAGGTACGCAAGGCGGCCTCAGATCTGCCATGGCAGCGCGGACGATACTTCCTTCATGTATCCGAGAGTTTCTAGTCTCATCGGAGCAGCATCCAGTCCTCATTTGGCACCGTAACATCCAGCACTACTCTTTGCGCCTCATTCAGCTCCAGATCAGATATCCTGAAAGTAAGACGCCAGTCGTAGTCACAGTTCTCGCTCTGATGGAGGAGAGCCCCGGACCAAGGGCGAGCATGGCTCGCGGATTTCTGGGAAGGTATGATCGTCAAGAGAAGCCCTTCTGGAGCCTGGCGACGCTCTCACGAGCTACTAGCAACATCACGATGCAGGATGGATGGCGGACTTCGTACCAAGATTCACCATCCATGGCGGCGGGCGATGCCGGGTTCTCTGATGTGCCCGATCTGGGAGGGCGGAAGCGGAAGCCCGCCAGCGGGAGTCGGAAGCGGAAGAGATCGCGCGGAGATACACTGCCGAGCGAGAGCGAGGTCAAGGCGGCTGCTGCTTGCGATGACGATGAGCTGAGTGCAGCTCAGCTGTCCGCGGCTAGGGTTCTCGCTCGACCGTCACCCGCTTTTTCAGGTGTGAACCTCGCGTTTCTTTTCATCTTGAGCCTTGCTACTGTTATCTCTTGCCCTGTCCCATCGTGGGGCTCTACATGTACGCAGTAATCGCTACACTTCCTTTGCAAAGATTTTCCTGTTCCATTTCAACCGCCTTCTAATTAACATCCAATCTGTGTGTTTCTTTGCATGCTTGTCAAAATTCAAATCTCCACTGCAGGAGCGCTTCAAGCCATCATAAATCAAGCTCGCCTTCGTCAGACCGTGGGATCTCTAACCTCGCCCCTTGCTCTCGCTCCCTCACTGGAGTCACTGACAACCTCCCCCGTCGCCTCCCAACGTTCTGGGCATAGCATGCAGTCCTTCACTTCCCTTCCCCTTATGGCTCAAGATTCCAGCCATGGGGACCTTCTGACCCAGGGTCTATTTCCCAATTATACTACCCTTGTGACCCGGGGTCAATCTTCCAACTCTACTAACCTTCTGACCTGGGGTCAATCCTCCAACTCGACTAACCTTTTGACCCGGGGTCTCCCTGTGGAATCACCTCGCCTCGACATGGCGTCATTGAACCTCTCAAGCCCACCCATCCTTGTGTCGCCACCTAACAACGTGGATCCAGCTCTCAGCTGGTTTCCTCCTGCAGAGGAGCTCCAGAGGTTTCAGGCAGCAGTGCGCGAGCCTTCTGTGCCATTCATGTATGAGTGCAAGGAGTGTGGGAGGACGTTCAACCTGCCGCAGTCACTGGGAGGACACATGTCAAGGCATAAAAGAGGTATGCTCCCCACATAAAGGTTACGAACCCCTTACAAAAGCTTGGATTTGACCTTTCTCGTCTTCTGTCATTTTTTTTTTCCGCAACTCTTGCTCCTGCTATTTGTTGAGCAATTTCTGATCCGACCATCCTTGGCCCTGATACGCAGAGAAGAGGCTGAAGATGATGCGCAAGAGAAAGGCGGAGGCAGATGCCCAAGAGGTGGCAGAAAGCTTATGTGAGCTGCAGAAAGCGTCAACATCTCCAGAGAGTTTAAACACCGCAGAATGTGCTGCTGACGCTCCTAGCCGGAAGGAGCGAAGGAGCACAATTCTAGACATGGTGTCAGCTGGGAACCCTCTTCAGGGAGATGGTCGCCAGCAGCCGTCTCTTCAAGCACTCATTGATTCTCAGCAGCAGCTGTTGCTCTACCAGCAGTTGCTCCACCTCCGGCTCACCATGCTGCCAGATGGGGTGCTGGTGCCTCCTGCATCTCCCTTGGCGGACCCTCTCCAGCAGCAGACGCAGCAGCCTGACAGAAAAAAAGCCCAGATGGTGGTGGTGCTTCCTTCAGCATCCCTTGTGGATCCTATTACACAGCAGCTTGAAACTGGGGGTCATTCTGGAACAGTCCAGGAGTATGGCATGTGTGAAGTTTCTGCACCAGGTGGGATTTTGGGATCTGTTGGGGTGAAGAGGGAGGAGAATCACCCCTTAGAATGGATGGGAGGGGAATCTTGGAATGCGTCCAAGGGAGTTTCAACTATTGAGAAGCACCGAAGTGGGTGTGGTGATAGCATGAGGTATGGTAGTAGCTCAGGTGGCTCACGCGAGGTCGTCATGGACTTGAATTCATTGCCCTCGGAGGGTCTGGAGCCCTAAGGTGGCATTTCAGCTGCTTTGGGTATATTTGTACATAGCTTGTTCTTTCATTCATGTTTTGCCTTTTTCTGTTCTGTTTCCGGTGGGAGTTATGTGGAGAGAATAGAACTCTCCTTATGCTCCGTTTTTTGTGTGATTTGATTAGCCTAGTTAGCTGTAACGGCGTCAGGCTAGAAGAAGACTGGGCTGATGCTCCCCCTAAGAACTGTACAATAACGGGTCATCTCCAATAGCTGCTTTCTAATTTATGAACCAATCTGTCATCTATTATCGGTCCTCGCTAGTTTTAGGAGTCGCTGACTCCTGTCCGAAGGAATTTGCTCGACCTCCTTATTGTCACACCATCCAATGCGCTTTACTTCCGCCGATCTCGTTTCTTTATCCGCTAGTTCTCGGGATCTCAGCCAGTGGCTATCCGCTCAGGCAGCGAAGAGTTACATTTTACGAGTTTACATGGACGATTTCCAGCGTATCGCGTCGGGTCGAGTGTCGCGCAGCAAGCAAGCATTGCTAATTTCACATGGCACGCGTAAGCGTCGATTCGTCCCTCCTGGTTCCTGGACGACTCCCCGTGTGCTGCAAAAAGCCAGCCCACATGCAATGCAACTCCTTCATGTGTCGACGTCAGGTTTTCGTGAATCCCTTACGCGAGTGCGCGATCCCGTGGCCATACCGTCGCCCTATCACGTGACGACGACGTTCCGAAATAGATGCGGACTGACTCATCCAGATTTCAGGCAGCAAATCTCCCGCCAAAAGCGCCGCCTCTTCGCAGATCCGTGAGGTTCTCGGCCTCCAATTGAACCCTCCCCTCCGCCCACCCATGCTCAACATGAGCGTGCACCCGAGCGTGCTGCCATGGAGCGACAGCGACGCACCATGTCGCAAAATCATCGCCTCGTCGGCATGATTGTCGTTCGCGGGCCGAAGCGTGCGAGCTCTGTCGTTGCAGCAGCTTGCCCTTGCCTGAACCAGTGGTTCAGTCGTCCTCCTCCTCCGCCTCTAAGCCAGCCAGTGGTTTGTCCGGGCTTCCAGTCAGGAGAAGGTACTACTAGTACTATTAATACTCGTAGTTTTAGCGTCTGCTCTCGGTCTTTTCCGGACTGTTTCTTCTGCACCTGTTGGTTCACAGCACGGCAACCAGTAGCACCTGTCAGTAGGGCTGTAATCTGAGGACCCATGGATAGCAGACCTGACAGCTCGGTTGCAGCGGCCGGGTCTACCGCGCCGGAATCGTCTCCAGTGATTGGATCTTCTGCCCCGGCCGGGATTTACACCTCATCCGCCACATCGGCTGGTGCTGGGGAGTCTCCTGCCGCTGCATCAGCGGAAGCCCCTTCTCCTGCCGCTGCATCAGCAGCCACCGGCGGATTTGCAAGCTCTGGCCTCTTCGGACCTTTCCAAATCGAGCCTGACTTGAATCTTCCCTCGTCTGGTTTCGGTTGGTCCCTTGGAGGTGCTCCGTTCGGCAGCTTTAACTGCGTCCTTACCCGAACCTTCGCCTGTAACGGAGTTCGTGTCCCCGTTACAAGCACCCGCGTCTATGGCTGTAGTACCCCCGTTACAAGCACCCCCGTCTATGGCTGTAGGAGGGGTGGGAGGAGTTGAGGGAGGAGAGGAGCGAGGAGAGGAGGGCGGAGGAGGAAGAGTGGAGTGGGCAGTTGGGGAGAGGGAAAGCGTGAGAGAGGCGGTACGAAAACCCAGTGGGGCGGACGTTAAGAGAATATTTTTGCAAAGAGGGAGAGGGGGAAGGAGGAGTGGCAGCCGCAGGAAGCAGTATCGGGTGCTGCCGAGTGAGGCAGAGCTGAAGCAGGCTCCTGCTGATAGGGAAGGGGGAGGAGGGGGAGGAGGGGGCGGAGGGGGAGGAAGAGGAGCGGGAGGAAGAGGAGGGGGAGGAAGAGGAGGGGGAGGAGGAGGGAGCGAAGGAGTGTTGAGGCCGGGTGGTCAAGAGCAGGAGAGCTCGGTATGCCTAGAGAAGCAGTCAGGCTCTCTGGAGGTGCAGAGGATACAGCAGCAGCAACAGCAGCAGCAGCATCAGGAGCAGTAGGAGCAGCAACACTACCAACAGCAGCAGCAGCGGCAGCGGCAGCAGGAGCTGGTGATGCAACAGACGCAGAAGTAGTACCGTTTCTGTGGCAAGGGATTTGACACCTCGCGGGCGCTGGGCGGCCACATGAACATGCACTGGCGAGGTTAGTTCGTGCCATTGAATTTTGAGTCGACTGAAAAGCCACCTTGGGCTGCTGGCTGGCCACATGAATATGCAGAGGCGAGTTGAGGCAGGCGAGTTTAAGGCATTTTAGCAGCTTGTTTGAGCTTGGTCGGGCCTGGCAGCATATTTGCTATGTGTTACCTGAAGACTTGTAGATTGCCATCTTTTGCATAGACTCTCTCAAAGCCCATTCGTCGCCCTGCTACCATTCGTGAAATAGCTCTTGTCCTCCTCCCTTCGCACCCTTGCGAAAGGCTTGTTATGTCATTCTTTTTGCCATCATATGCTTTTTCTTTTCTTCTATGCTGGGCATCTCCGGTGTTGTCTTTCCTTGCCACTTTCCCCTATCAGAGAAGCGGTATGAGGATCGCCTTGTGCTACAGGTGGGGGAAAGGGCATTGGCGGAGATGCGATCGCAGCAGCAGCAACAGCAGCAGCGAGCTCAAATGGAGTGCATGCAACAATTGCAGCAGGCGCTGCGCTGCAACAGCAGCGGCAACAGGGGCAGCCTGGCGGCGTGGCCTCAACTAGAGTGCTGCCAGCACCACCAGCTGCAGCACCAAGAGCAATAGCAGCACCTCCATCTTCACAAGCAAGAGCTTTGTCAGCAGCAGCAAGTGCGCTACCCCCACCACGGGCAGCAGGAGCATTGGCTGCGCTGCCTTTAGCTGTAGCTGAGGGTGCTGAGGGGAAGCAGCCACACCCCTGCACCCTCCCCCTCGCCTTTGGCCTCTTGACCAGCATGGGCAGCAGAGCACCTGCCGCCATGCCACATGCTGCACCTGCCGCCATGCCACATGCTGCACCTGCCGCCATGCCACATGCTGCACCTGCCGCCATGCCACATGCTGCACCTGCCGCCATGCCACATGCTGCACCTGCCGCCATGCCACATGCTGCACCTGCTGCCATGCCACATGCTGCACCTACTGCGTGCCTCATGCCGACGCTCCGGTGTTTGCCCTACCAAGGCCGCCAAAATCATCAGCTCGTAAATGTCAACATCAGGCACCGTCGTCCGTGCCTCACACATCATCAGCCCAAACCAACCTTCCGTCCGGGCTCCTCGATGACCAAAAGGCTTTCCTCTCATCTCTCACACCTGAATTCCTCGAATCTATCTTTCTCAGGACTGGTCCTCCAAAAATCCTCTTCCCAGCTGCCACAATCCCCACAGGCTCAGCAGCAGCTGCTCCTACTACAGCCGCTACAGCGACTACAGCCATTACAACTGCTACAGCTCCTACAGCCCCTCCATCTGCTCCCATGCCTGGCACTGCCCCTCCATCCTTGCCTCCGGTTTACCGAACCCTACCACCCCTCTTCGCAAGTGCTGCTGCACATCCGCCGGCTGAGCCCCATGTTTCTTCTTCCCAGGCTCCTGCCTTGCAGCCTCCTCTGCCGCAGCCTTCTCTGCTCAAGCCCCCTTGTTCTCTGCCGCCTCTGTGGCAGCCTCTTCTGCCTGAGGTTCCTATCTGGCAGGCTGTTCAGCCGCATGCCCTCAAGTGCCATGAGTCGATGTTTTCTCAGCAGCAGGCATGGCTGCGATCACACTGGCTGGAGCAGAGGCAGGGGCAGTGGGAGCAGCAGCAACAGCAGGAGCAGCAGCAGCAGCAACAGCAGGAGCAGCAGCCATGCCACAAGCAGCTTGTTTCAGTTCCTCCTGGGGTCAACCCCAGCCACGGACAGGTAGTGCAGGGCTCTGGCAGCCAAGAGACTAGGCGGGAAAAGATTGCCCGGCTGGAAGATGAGGTTACACGGCTGCAGCATCTAATGCACGGCCACGCTCAAAAGAAGGGGGATGTGTTGAACCTGAGGGAACAGAGGGATAAGAGCTTGATCAAACTAGAGGAGCTGTTGGATGATGATGATGATGACGGCTTGAAGAGTACGTTGGAGGGTGGGAGTTTGAGTTATTCAGAGCTACCCGTAATCCCCCGGATATAACACCCCGGGTGTAGTACAAAATTCGGGCAAAAATGGGGGGGTGGGTGCTCTATTTCGCGTTTATGCTATAGCACCCTGGTGTTATATTTGAGGATATATTTTTTAAGGTTGCATTGTGTTCCTTGCACAATAAGCTTTCCGGCCATGTTGTTTTGGGCTTGAAAGGATTGCAAGTGTGCGCGATCTGAAGGGTCAAAGTCCGCCTGTGGGTCAAGCCCGTTCTAGTCAGCCATGCATGCTCGTAAACGAGTGTGCGACCTAGCATGAAACATCCCTCTCAGGCGTCCCCTCTGTTGTCAGACCCAGGCGATGCCCTCCCTCCAGCGACATGCCCAACGGGTCGCCCACCAATCCCGTGGCGCTCAGAGCACAAGCTGATTGGCGAGGTTGCTGGGAGTTGTCGTTGGTATTTCTTGGTGGGGGCTTCAGGGGGGAAGATCCATCGTTTCCCTCCCTCCCTTTCCAGCCCCTCGTCCCCCTAGCATGACGAACGCTGGAATCAGCGTTCTCTTCAGCAAGAGAGCTTCTAACCTTCGCAGCAGTAGGAATGTACCCGCCTCCTCCTCTCGTCATATAGCTCCCGTAGTGCCAGCCCCCACGGGCTGGCTTCGTCGTGGATATGTTCAGGGGGATGACGACATCGATGACGTATTGCCCCACCTCGATGGAGATGACGAGGAACATGCAGACGAGACTGCTGCCAACGGCGATAATGGCGAGGGCGGTGCTGACGGTGATGCGGAGTACGAGGACTTTGCTGCGGCAGCGGCTGCTGATCCGTACGGGGACTTCGATGATCCTATGGCGATGCCCGACGTCGTCGTGCCGTCGTTTCCAGGGTACTCCGAGGCTGAAACAGATCCGGAATCCGTCAACCACGATGAGACACCGCCATCGCCACGGTCGAATCTGACGGGGAGAAAGCGGCGCTCAATTTCCGTTCGGGAGAAGCTGATGTGGTGCGCCATGTTCGACAGCCTTCCCGCCCCCTCGCAGCGAATGGTGGCGCGCATGGCGAAGGTGCAGCCGCAAATGATTCGTGAGTGGATGAAATCTCGTGAGCAGCTGAAGCAAGCGGCACCTGGTCGGAAGCGCCTTCGCGGAGCAGGCAGGAAGAGCAAGTACCCTGACATGGAGAGAGCTGTCTATCGCCGGTACCTTAGCGCGCGACGGCGAGGTCTCCCCGTGTCCATCAGTCTCCTCCAGACCTGGAGCCGTGACTGGATGAAGGACCACTTCCCGACGGTGCAATGGCGGGCCTCTTCGCGCTGGTCCTTCCGTTTCCGTCGTCGTTGGGGACTAACAGTGCGTGTGAAGACTAAAATGGGACAGAAGCTCCCTGCCGGTAAGCCGACACTCTAGTTTCCCTCTCCCTTCCACCGAAATTCATCTTTCCAAGTCAGTTGTGCACGTCGAATTTTACAGCGTCTCGGTTTTCTCCTGCTGCGTTCGACTCATGCTTAGCGACTCTACCCACATGCTCCCCACCCTCTGTTTTCTTTTCCACCGCAGACAGTGGGCCCAAGTGTGAACGCTTCTGGCAGTTTGTGCGGCAGATGGTGCTGAAGCGGCAAATCATGCCGGAGTTCATCATTAATGCAGATCAAACGCCGCTCTACCTCGAAATGCCCCTTGAGCGCACCCTGGAACGTCGCGGTGCCCGCACTGTCCATGTCCGCACTGCTGGATATGAGAAGGAGCGGGTGACCGTGATGTTGGCATGCACGGCCACCGGCGAGAAGCTCCCCCCGTACGTCATCTTCAAGAGGAAGAACCCTCCCCAGTGTTACACTCCCGCAGGTAAGTTTGGTGCTGATTACCGGTACATGCTGTTCTGTTTTGTTTCCTACAACCAATAAGCAATGAATAAGAGTCTAAAACCGGTCTAATCTACGCTATGCCCCTCCCCCCTCCCCCTCCTTTACAGACGTCGTAGTGCGCGCCCATCCGAAGGGGTGGATGGACGAGCGCCTCGTCCAGGACTGGACCACGAAAGTCGTCGCACCGTTCGTGACAACAGCGCGACGACAGCGCCCGCCATCCCTCCTCGTCCTCGATTCCTACAAGGGGCACCTGACCCCTGCTGTCCGCGCCACCTTATCCCTATTCCGCCTTTTCCCTGCAGTCATTCCAGGGGGCTGCACTCCGTACGTGCAGCCACTGGATGTGAGCATCAACAAATCATTCAAGGCAGGTGTACGATCCCAGTACACCAAATGGTTTGCTGAACAAGGGATCAACATGACGACCAAGGCTGGTGAGTTTGATCGGCGCCTAGACCCATACGAATCGTGACGGAATTTCACTGCCCATTCGCGAATCCGCATGTGAATGCAACGTTTGTGTTGTTTCCGACCCACTGACAAATCTCACTCTCTCTATGCCAGGGAACCTGAAGAAGCCACCACCGGACGTGGTGCTCAAGTGGGTCTCACGGGCGTGGGCTGCAGTGCCGTATACCCTCATCCAAAAAGCTTTCAAGACCTGTGGCATCTCGAATGCCACAGATGGGAGCGAGGATCATCTGATCCTCGCTCACATGCGCGATGGGAATGAGGTGGAGGTGCTGGAGGAGGTTGTGCCTGAGGACTCCCCCAATCCCCCACAGCCAGCACCCCCTGCCGCCTCCCCCCAGGCCCCCCGCCGACCCCAGGAGGTGGTGGCGGAGAATCTGGACGAGGACGCCTGCTCTGAGGATTTTTCTGGATGTAATTCTGATCAAGAGAGTGACGATGATGGCGAGGAGGTAGAAGGGGGACACGAAGAGGAGGAGGCGGAGGAGATTCCTTGGGAGGATGATGTGTAGAGGAATGCCTAGTGTAGTTGCTAGTCTGGCATGTGTAGTAGGGCAACTGTAGTGATTGATGGTGCCTAAACTTACATTAATATTGTAGTACTCCGCAAATTGAAAAATAGGCAAAAGCAATGGGGTGGGTGCTATACCAGGTTCCTCAAAAGGTGGGTGTACAATTAAGGGTTCGTCAATAGAACACCCACCCCGGATATAACACCACTGGGTGCTTTATTCCGGCGGGTGTTATATCCGGGGGATTACGGTACATGATTTCACCCGGCTCTCCATTTGTTGAAACCAATTTAGTACGCCGATGGGGAGGAATTGGGACTTTCGTGTAGGCTGTGCTTCTGGTTTGGATGGGTGGGTAGGACGCTTGAGTTGTGTGCGTTTTTTTACAAGTTGGCTGAATGTTGGCGTATGATTTTCTGGTTGTGAGAGGTGACCCACCATATATTGCACATGCATGCAAGTCATTTTGGCATGCCTACATTTGTTAGGAGCAGCTTATGCTACTTGATATACTCTTTTGTAGCTCCGTTTTATAGTCCCGGACGGACCTACCAGATCGAGTCCCGAACGGACGGGGCGAACCCCTGAAGTTGGCTCTAGTCCAGAAGTCTTTGTTGGCTCTGGTCTATTATGCTTCTTTAATCTCGCCGCAACAAGCTCTTCCTCGCATGCACGATCGTTTCTTTGCTCTCGCCCAGGCGTCAACAGCGGACACGTGTAAAACAGCATGTTGCTGTGTCCAAATAGGCCGTTTCCGACGGGCGATAGAAGGATAGAAGGGCCGCTTCGAGGTCCTCGATTCAGGAAATATTTATCACAGCGTGGGAGGAGCACTCCTCTCACGTGGTACTCTGGGAGCGTCAGCCACAGGTTGCAGCTTTCCACCCGAGCCACCGTCAGATAAGTGCCCAACCGAGTGGCGTGTAACCTGTAGCATCACGAGCACGGAGAAGCCGATAGAATCATCTCGCTGCTACTGTGACTTTCAAGGGTGATTGCCGCTCAGCAAGAGCGAGCTTCTTAGCTTCCTCATGCCTTCCGCTGTGAGTGGCGTCATTTTAGTGGCGGCAGCTGACTATGCTTGTCGGCTTTTGCCTCGGCTGGCATGGTCTAGGTTCGGCGCGCTTAAACCCTCATGCTCGGCTCGCTTCTCCTTGTAAGGGGTGTCGCCCTAGTTGGGGCGGTTGACATCTCCCCGAGAGCGTATCGGCGCGCCCTTGCGCCGGAGCTGGGGAAGTCCGAAATCCCCAGCTGCCTGATGATGATTTTCGTCCACGTGCGTTGGGGCAACCGCTAATCCAATGGGCGGCTTTGAGCATCATTTCCTTCCCAGTCAGCACCGAATCTTCCCAAAGGCCAGGAAGCTTGAAGCTCACGCTCTCCGAACCAGTCGGCTGTCTGCCGTTCAACCGAATATCGTCCGTATCAGCGGACGAATTGTGCGAACATGTGACTCTATCATAAGACGGATATGTCACACATCGGTCTCTCATTGCGGATCCTCTATAGCACTGCTGCCTCTTTCCCCGGATCGGTGTTGCTTGCCAGTACAAGAACTACTCCGGGTTCGGGGGACAGCCGTTCAGCGAGAAACGAGCCTCCTGAGGTTGAGGGATCGTGGACGAGCCTCTTACCTTGCAGCACTCGGGTTTTGACTTTCGGATCTCAGATCGAACGATCTCAGATCGTACCCAGGCTGGGATTTGACCACTCGAATTCGCCGCGGACAAGCTCAATCTCGCAGGAGAGCCCCAGCGATGGACCGGAGAAAACTCGCGCCTGCGGACACTGCCAACAACGCGAGCCCGCGGTTGGGCCTCCATAGCAGTGGCCTCAGTGGCGTGCATAGTTGGCGCTACGGCCGAGCCGAGCGGGATGCAGCGCTGTCGCAGCTTCAACCGCAGCACCATGAAACGGTGGCGTCTCGTAGTTGTGGCCTGGGCAGCAGTAACCGCGGCGGCGGCAGCACACCCGCTGAGGGGAACCCAGCTTTAGGCGGACACGGGAGCGGGATTGGGGGAGCAATGGGGGGTGGGATAGCCGGGAGTGGGATTGGAACAGGGGGCGGGGGCAGGGGCCGGAGTGTCGGGAGTGGGTGCAGAAAGAAAGGTCCGGTGGGCGGCGATTCCGAACGAGGTGGATGTGAAGGGCGCAGCGATTTGCGGTGACATGGCGCTTGTGGCATTCCCTCGATCTCCTGCTCCTGCTGCTGGCGAAGGTAAGATGAGGTTGTTTGTTTGTTTGTTTGTTTGTCTGTTTGTTTTTTTAAATATTTTTTTACATGCAGGTATTTGTGACCGTTATCTTGCTGTTGTGATCAGTAACTTCGACTTCCATTCGGGCTTCATTGTCAGAAGCTTGCACTAGGGCTTTAACATTTGGCCCACTGCATTCTCATAACCTTTTCCCCTTTCACCCCTGCCCACAACCCCCTCTCTCCACTCCCACCCACTCGCTCTTCCCCCTCCCCCTCACCTTTGCCTTTCACCCGTCCTGCAGGATCCGTGCTCTCTCGCATCGACCCAGAATCTCTGCTGCTGCCGTTCGCACTGCAAGCCCTCATCCCTTTTCTTGCCCACCCCTTGCCCCATCCCGTCGTGAAGTGGTCAATCTTTGCACTCAACCCGTCGAACTCTTGCATCCAAACCCCCTCTGCGTCAAATCCCTCTTTCAGCTATGGGGCTCAAAAACAGCATCATACGTACCTCGTATGGCTTTACCGGCGTTCCTGGCCTGGATGGTAACCCGTTCAGCAGCCACGTCAGTTTTACCGGACTGGCCGCAAGCACTGCGATGCCGAATCTGCAGGCTCCATCCCAGCTTACTCTGGTGAATCAGTTGTCCAGACTGCAAGTGCTGCGTCAGCAGATCGCTGATTTATCATCATCGCAAGCGCTGCTGCAGGCGCCCGACCCTCCGATTGCTGATGCTTCAGTGCTCCAGATACCTCAGCAGATTCTGCACCAGATACCTCAACGGGGTCAGCATCAGATACACTGGGAACAGCTAGGCTCCAACCTCCTGGCACTGCAGCGTTCTAGCCAGCTGAGCACTCAATATCCGCCTCTGCAGGAGGCTGTTCATCTCGGTATCGGTAAGTAAGCCCTACCAGCATGAGATGGTGTTGTTGTTTTGGTCGTGACATTCGTGTATGTGTGCACAGATTGCGGGGAAACGCTTGGATCTCGTCTTTGGAGGCCACTTTACAAGGCACAGGTGGGGTATGTAGTCTGATCTGATCCGTTCCCTGGCGATTGTGCGTTCAATTTGTTGCTCTGCACTTACAGATTGAGAGGCCAACTTTCTGCTTCAGAAGCTGATTTGTCAGAAGTTTATAACTGCCCAAAGCTTCTACTTTGATCTGTTTTTTCCCTGGTGCAGAAGCAAGAGTTAAAACTGGGGAAAGGAAGGAACCTCAGGGGCAAGACAGCAACACACAGGTGTTTGCACAAGGCTTCAGCACCTTTGGAGGCATGTCTGGTCCTCGACGTTCAATGGAATTAGTTGAAGCAGAGGCAGGGAAAGCTGTTGGTGGTGTTATTCAGCTCCCTTGCTGGCCACAATCTCTCTCCTTGCAGTTGGGGTCTACAGGGTTACAGCAGCTTGGCTATCTGGGCCAGATTCCCCTCCATCAGAGCCATCGCTTTTGTCCAGATCCTGCTCCTGATACTGTGCAAGCACAGCAGGTACAGTGCAACATGGAGGCTGGAGTGGCAGCGCTAAACCTGGCTGATTTAGAGCCGCCCAGGTCTGACTCAGAGCCACTGCAGGCCGTTTCAGTGCCATCCAGAACTAATTTCGACCCATCTCAGGCTGACTCGGTTCCATGCCAGGCTGACTCAGAGCTACCCAGCGCTGATCTGGAACTCTCCAGGCACGCCTTTGAACCGTCTAAGGCCGATGGTCAATGGCTGGGCTGCAAGAAGCAAGGTGGGCAGAAGATTCGAGCAAAGAAAGCCATGGATGAGGGCATGCCTCCTCTGTGGGGCATCTGTGGGTTTGTTGGGATGAAAAGGTTGCCATGCAGGCAAGTGGAGAGGAAGAGGAGTCGGCTACATCCGAGATCCCTAGGCAATCCAGGAGAAGTGCTGAACACTGTGAAGGGTTGGGAATGCTTAGTGCAACCCAAGGCAGCTGCGGGTAGATTTGAATGAGATTCCTTAGTAACCAGCAAACGTCTCAGGCTGACAAGTGGTTTGAGAGTGAATTGTCACGTGTATAGAAGTGTGCCATGAGTTCATGCTGTGAGATGCTACTCAAATGGAATGGCACACTTGGTCAAGCATCTCACAAATTGGTTGGGTGCAATATATTCAATGAGGCACATGTCAAACATGTCTATTTGTTATGTTTGTATAGACTGTATAGGGTAGCCTCTTAGAGGGTACAACACTTACCTATATTGTGTGTACTCTCCCCCTATCACTATCATTCAATTTTCTGATATGGTATCACGCGTAGGTAGGATCCCCCCCCCCCACCTACCGCTTCCGCTCATGCCCCCTAGCGCCCCTCCTGGGCCCCGTCGCGCTCCTCCCAGGCCCCATCGCGCTCCTCCCAGGCCCCGTCGCGCCCCTCCCAGGCCCTCTAGCGCCCCTTCTGGGCCCCGTCGCGCTCCTCCCAGGCCCCGTAGCGCCCCGTCGCGCCCCTCCTGGGCCCCGTAGCGCCCCTCCTGGGCCTCGTCGCGCCCCTCCCAGGCCCCGTCGCGCTCCTCCCAGGCCCCCTAGCGCCCCTCCTGGGCCCCGTCGCGCTCCTCCCAGCCCTCGTCGCGCCCCTCCTGGGCTCCGTCGCGCCCCTCCTGGGCCCTGTAACGCCCTCCCAGGCCCCATCGCGCTCCTCCCAGGCCCCGTCGCGCCCCTCCCAGGCCCTCTAGCGCCCCTCCTGGGCCCCGTCGCGCTCCTCCCAGGCCCCGTAGCGCCCCGTCGCGCCCCTCCTGGGCCCCGTAGCGCCCCCTCCTAGGCCTCGTCGCGCCCCTCCTGGGCTTCGTAGCGCCCCTCCTGGGCCCTGTAACGCCCTCCCAGGCCCCGTCGCGCCCCTCCCAGGCCCCGTCGCGCTCCTCCCAGGCCCCCTAGCGCCCCTCCTGGGCCCCGTCGCGCTCCTCCCAGGCCTCGTTGCGCCCCTCCTGGGCCCCGTAGCGCCCCTCCTGGGCCCCGTCGCGCCCTCCTTGGGCCCTGTAGCGCCCCTCCTGGGCCCCGTCGTGCCCCTCCCAGGCCCCGTAGCGCCCCTCCTGGGCCTCGTTGCGCCTCTCCTGGGCCCCCCGTCGTGCCTCTCCTGGGCCCCGTAGCGCCCCTCCTGGGCCGCGTCGTACCCGTCGCCGCCGCCCGGCCCCGTCGTGCCCGCCCGGCCCCGTCGCGCCCGCCCGGCGCCGTCGCTGCCGCCCGGCCCCGTCGCGCCCGCCCGGCGCCGTCGCACCCTGCCCGGCCCGTCGCGCTCGCCCGGCCCCGTCGCAGCCGCCCGGCTCCGTCGCACCCGCCCGGCCCCGTCGCACCCTGCCCGGCCTCGTCACAGCCGCCCGGCCCCGTCGCACCAGCCCGGCCGCCGTCCCGCTCGCCCGGCCCCGTCGCCCCAGCCCGGCCCCGTCGCGCCCGCTCGGCCCCGTCGCCCTGTCCCGGCCCCGTCGCGCCCGCCCGGCCCCGTCGGGCCAGCCCCGGCCCCGTCCTCCTTACTGGAACGGTTCCCCCCCCCCCCCCCCCCCCCCCACCCCGCCCTGCTCCGTGCCGCCCTGCACCGCACTGCACCGCACTGTACCGCACAGTACCGCACTACACCGCACTGTACCGCACAGTACCGCACTGCACCGCACTGCACCGCACTGTATCGCACTGCACCGCACTGCACCGCACTGCACCGCCCTGCACAGCACTGGACTGTTCCTGATGGCGGCGGAGCTTCGCTTCGACGCTGAAGGTCAGCCCCTAGAGTTCGAGGCGTGGCTTGCCGACCTCCGCCGCAAACTCACTGGCCAGCGGCAGGATGGTGAACCGCTTTCCGCACACCTTGACGGTACGCTCCCCTGCCCAGACCCTCCTGCTATTCTGCCCGCTGACCCCACACCCACTGAGCGTGAGTCTACTGCTGCCACTGCCCGTGCGCGCTCTGTCTGGCTTTCTCGCGATGCTGTCGCCCAGCTTGCCATTAGCAACGCCCTCCCCCCGTCCGAGCGTCCTCGCTTTAGGTCCCTCACTACTGCTCAGGCATACTTAGATGCTGTCATCAAGCGCTATTCCACCCCTCCGGCTGCCTCGGTGGGTCGCCTGATCCTCCCGCTGCTCTTTCCTGACCTTGCTTCGTTCCCCACTGTCTCTGACCTCGCTGCCCACCTGCGCTCGCTAGAGGAGACCTGGCGCGCCGCCTGCACTGACGCACAGCTTAGAGCCCACCAGCCGCCCATTACCTCTACCCTCTACCTGCTTGCCACCCGCCTCCCTGACCGCCTTGCTGTCGCCCGCGACCGCTTCCTTAGTGTTCACCCCGCAGACCTCACCCTCACTGACTTTGTCGACACCCTGACTGTGATAGAGACCCGTCACCGCTCCATCGCCCAGGCGAGCGGTGTCGTGCCGGTCCCTATCTTTCAGGGTTGTGCCCCTGCTCAGTGTACCTTCTCCGACGGCTCTGCCGCAGTGGCTGAGACTACTGCTGCAGCGCAGGCCCGTTCGGGGAAGGGCCGCCGCCCCAAGGCTGGGCGCGGCGGAGGGGGCGGCGGGGGTGCGGGCGGGGGTAGTGGTGGGGTCGGGTCGCCTGGTGCTGGAGCGGACGAGGGGACCCTGCCCAGTCCAGCTGAGTCGCCGCCCCTGCAGTTGCAGCAGCCGCAGCAGCCGCCGCAGTCGCAGCCTTCGCAGCAGCCGCAGCAGCCGTCGCAGACGCGGCAGATGAGTGTTCTCCCGCCAGGGTGGCCCGGCGCTGGCGGTGGACGGGCGCGTGGTGGTGTGCCGCGAGGTGGCTCTTCCGGCGGGCGTTGTCAGTACCAGATCCAGACCGGTCCTCGCCGCGGTTTCGTTTGCGGTAAGATCGCTCACTCCACTCCCCGCTGCTTTCGTCGCCTGGACGACCTCTTTCGTCAGCGTTTCGGCCCGTCGCCAGACCTCCCGGACTGGCACAGTTTGCTTAGTCGTCAGGTTCAGATCTTTGATATGGACATGGATGCCATTGTTTCTGCTCTGCATGTGATGTATGCTGATGACTCTAGTGTGCTTCCGACTTATTACTCACTGTTGCCTAGTGTAGGTGTGCCTAGCTTAGCCCCCCCTGCTGCGTCAGGCGTAGGATCCCCTGCTTTGTGTAGTCTTGGTGCTTCTGCCGTCGTTCCGTCGCCAGACCCCTCGGCTTCGCTTTCCTTCACCTTGGACTCTGGCGCCTCTCGGTGTTTCTTCCGCGACTCCACCACCTTGACGCCGCTTCCTGTTCCTGCTGCCGTTTCTCTTGCTGACCCCTCCGGCGGTCCGGTAGTCGCCCGCAGTTCCACCACCCTTCCCTGTCCGGCGGTTCCTTCGGGCTCTCATACAGGTCTGCATATCCCCTCGTTCTCCAGGAACCTAGTTGGTGTCGGCTGCCTCCAGGACCTTGGCGTCACCACTACGTTCCCTGGTCACGAGCGGTATGCTGTCTGTACCGAGGCCGCCACTGGTGCCCCCCTGTCCACGTTCCCCCGGGACCCGGTGTCCGGCCTGTTCACTCTGGACACCGTGCCCCCCCCGGCTGGAGCGCCCCCTCAGGTGGCTGTGTCTACCCAGGTTGCTGCTGCGTGCTCCTGTCGCTCCCTCACTCACCCGACCCTCCTGTGGCACCACCGCCTAGGTCACCCTGCGCTCCCGCGTCTGCGTCACATGTCCCAGCACGGTCTTGTCCTTGGTCTCCCAGGTTCACTCCCCGCGTTTCCCTCCTCCCCAGTCCCCTCCTCCGCCGTCCCTGCCGCCACTGCAGCCGTCGCCGTCGCCGCCGCCGCCGCAGTCGCAGCCCCCGTTCGCTGACTCTGGGGGTGCTCGTCCCGGTTGCCCTCAGGGTGGTCCCTCTGGGGGTGCGGGTGTGGAGCGTGCCGGTGGTAGCCGAGGAGCAGCTTGCGGTCCAGGTGTCGCCGTTGTGCCGCCGCAGCAGCAGTCCCCGCCGGTGTCCGCCCTTCGCCTGCTCGGCCTTCCGTCCCCCGACCCTGCGTCGGTTCCTCCCCGACCGTCTCCTCCTCTTCCTGTCTACGGCCCTGTTTTCCCTCCGCCGGACTCGTCCCCGGCCCGTCTCCCCCCTCGTTCACCTCCTGTGTCCCCTCCCCTGTCTCCTGACCCGACTCCTCCATCGCACGTCTGGTCTCACCGTCCCTCCCGTGCTCGTCCTGCCTCGCCTGTCCTGCGCTCCCACCCTATGTTGCTTCGTTCACACGCGTCTCGTCCTCCCCTTCTGCCGTCGCCTCCTCCGTCCTCCCTTGTTGTTGCGCCCCCCCCGCTGTCCGACTACCTTCGTGCCGCTCGTCCCCTCGTTCCTCGGGTCCTTGCCTCTCTCGTTACCGACCCGTCTGTTCCAGTCTCGTGCCTTGACGCTCTTGTCGCTGCTGTGGCTGACTTCGCCTCTACCCGCCGCCTTGACTACGCCACCGCTCTGGTCTCTGACCCTGCCTGTCCTCCGTCTGTCGGGGGTGCTCCTGCCCTTGGCAGTGACGTCCTGGAGGACCGCCAGTTCGAGCTTGCTTTCCTGTCTGAGGCTGCTCCCCATCTCTGTTCCATGCTGCTAGTCCCTGAGGGTGACCCAGACGCTTTTGACATCCCGACCCCTCGCACTTACGCTGAGGCGACTTCGGGACCCTGGGCCTCGCAGTGGATAGCTGCCATGGAGCAGGAGATGGCATCTTGGAGATCCACCGGCACCTTCGTCGACGCAGTTCCCCCACCTGGGGTGAACGTAGTCGATGGTCGGTGGCTCTTCAAGGTGAAGCGCCCTCCTGGAGAGCCGCCTGTCTTCAAGGCGCGCTATGTGGCTAGAGGCTTCAGTCAGCACGAGGGGGTGGACTTCTTCCAGACTTTCGCTCCGACCCCGAAGATGACTACTCTTCGGGTTCTGTTACACCTAGCTGCTCAGCGTGACTACGAGCTTCACTCTCTCGACTTCTCCACTGCCTTCCTTCAGGGCAGCCTACACGAGCAGGTCTACCTGCGCCGCCCTCCGGGCTTTACTGGCACCTTCCCTCTTGGGACCCAGTGGCTCCTGCGGCGTCCCGTCTACGGCCTGCGCCAGGCTCCCCGTGAGTGGCACGACACTCTGCGTGCTACGCTTGCTGACCTGCAGTTCTTTCCGTCTTCTGCAGACCCTTCACTCTTCGTTCGTGCTGGCCAGACTCCGTTCTACATCCTCGTCTACGTCGACGACCTGGTCTTTGCCACAGCAGACAGGGACGCGCTGGCCTCCGTGAAGGCAGAGCTGCTGAAGAGACACATCTGCACTGACCTTGGAGAACTGCGCCGTTACCTTGGCTTGCAGATCTCCAGGGACAGAGCTGCGCGCACCATCACCCTGACTCAGTCACACTTGGTGCGCCAGGTCCTTCAGAGGTTCAGCCTTCAGTTCTCCTCTGCACAGCCCACCCCTCTGCCTGTAGACCACTGGCTCTCCGCTCCAGTGCCTGAGGAGTTGGTAGAGCCGAGCGGCCCCTACGCAGAGCTGGTGGGTTGCCTCATGTACCTGATGACTTGCACTCGCCCAGATCTCGCATACCCTCTCAGCATCCTGGCTCGCTTTGTGGCCACAGGCAGACACCGACCTCAGCACTGGTCTGCCGCTAAGAGGGTTCTGCGTTATCTTGCTAGTACATCGGGCATGGGGTTAGTGCTAGGAGGACGCAGGCCAGCGGTCCTTACTGGGCACACAGATGCTTCGTGGGCAGACGACGCTGAGACACTCCGGTCTACCCAGGGCTACTGCTTCAGCCTTGGCTCAGGTGCCGTCTCGTGGAGAGCTACTCGCTCCTCGTCTGTTGCACAGTCCAGCTGTGAGGCTGAGATCTACGCCGGTGCCATGGCGGCACAGGAGCTCCGCTGGCTGACCTTCTTGCTCACTGACTTAGGTGAGCGACCTAGCTCTGCCCCGGTCCTGTTCGCTGACAACAGGGCCATGATCCTCCTGTGTCAGGAGCCTCGACTCGAGGGCAGAGCGAGGCACATTCAGCTGCGGTACTTCCTCCTGCGTGAGCTATAGCAGCGACGTCAGGCTCGCGTAGTACACTTGGCCTCAGGTGCCAACACGGCTGATATCTTTACGAAGGCGCTTGCGCCTAAAGATCATCAGCGGCACTGTGTACAGCTTGGTCTAGTTCCTGTAGCCTCTCACTTGCTAGGACCTTGACTTTGTACTGTCCTTTATATGTATACTCAGACTGGACTTGTGTCCTCTCCCAGTGGCTGGACTAGTAGTGCCGCTCTGCTCTTTGCTTGCCTTGTCTGTACTCCTTCTGACTGGTCGCTCAGACCCTTGTCTCAGAGGTTGGACTAGTAGTGCCGCCCTGAGCTGTTTGTTTAGGACTTTCCCCTATGCAGTCTAGGGGGTGTGTCAAACATGTCTATTTGTTATGTTTGTATAGACTGTATAGGGTAGCCTCTTAGAGGGTACAACACTTAGCTATATTGTGTGTACTCTCCCCCTATCACTATCATTCAATTTTCTGATAGCACACACTAAGGTTTCTCACGTTGAAGCCTTCTAAACCACCTAGGAGAGCTCATTGAATCGCACATTTCACTGTAATGTAACACCTCGTCAGTAATATATTTCGTTCATAAACCCTGACATCAGCAGCCCTGTTTTCGTCCCCTCCCAATTTCCCATAAACCCGTCTGCCATCAATACAAGCGCGTCATTCGCAATGCATGGGCCTTGTGAGCTCCTTGCTTCTCCTCATTTCAGGTTTCCTGGATTATGTCGAACCGCTCTCTTCCATGGCTTCTCGGCGCAATGAGGGGTTTTATGAGACGAATTCACGTGAGGCGCCTCCTCCATCCTTTGATCCTGCCTTGACCTTTGGACTCAACAGGCGGCGTGCGGCCGTCGTTTCTTTTGACACATGGCATCAATCTTCGATCGTGAGGTTGCTCCGAGAACACGCTATCGCGTGAAGGGCCAACCCAACCTATGCCGAATCGATAACACCCATGTCACCGACTCGCGTGGGATGGGAATACAGCCGGGTGGCAATCTGGCTGCCGCATGTCAGTGCCGACCGGGAGTCGAGATGGCTGGGCCGAAACCTCCATTGGGATGGCATGTCAGGCTCTTCTTAAACCTGCTTGTCGCTGTAAGTATTACTTGTCATTACAAGCGCAAGCCCCTCTTCTTGGTTCTGCCCTTGCTTCCGAAGACATTTTCAGGGGACAATCTATTTCGCATGCGAATCTAACTAAGTCAAAATAGAAGTTGCCGAGTCAAAATTGTCTGAGAGGAATTCCGGCGCCCTTCCTCGTCACGTTTCGTTTCCTCTGACTAGTTACCACCTGAACATCTCACGTCTTTCACGTGATATCCTGACATGATGCTTCTGGAAGTTTCCGGACTGCCAACAAACTTGCTTCAACATTTGATGCCGTTGCAAACAGGCCGTCCACCCCTCGGGTCGCCATTCCCTGTCAACCTTGCGATGTTCCGATGCGGCGATTTTCTCCGTCGATGGATGTCCGAGATCTCAGAAATACCGAGTGGAGATATGATCAGTTTATTGCCAAGCCAGATATCCCAATCTTCAGTTCTCCAACAGCTCTGTGCTCATGATAGACGTACCAGCCAGAAACCAGAACTTCACTAGGCCCGAACGTCCAGAAGAACTCGAGATAAGAAGCCAGAGTTCCTCTCCAGACTTTGAGGAGCAGATTTTCAGTCGGTTTCCTCCGACGAGTCGTCGCGACTATCAAGCTAACGCCTTTGCTCGAGTAGCAAGCGCTGGACTCAGACCAGTTACTCGTTGTCGGCGTGGTAGGAGGACGCGTGGTAGCCGCACTGAGCGGTGACATCTCCTCCACTTTCAAGGCGGGCCCAGTCCAGCACGCACCAGATTGAGGCGGATTCGGTGTGAGCTCGCGGTGCAACTCCAACACGCGGAATCACCAGTCCCCCTCGCGTGTCGGCGCTTCCGCGAAGACTCCAACCAACCACGCATCTCCAGCCCAGACTTCACGACAGGATAACCAAGTTGCTCTGCGTCATGGATTCTCCACACCAAGATGACCTCGCGGCTGCCATGGTAGCTGCTCCAACGGCCGTTCGGCCGGACAGTGACGCCGCTGCTACCTGTCCTGCCGCGTCCGCAGCGTTTTCTGCACCGCCTGCTCTTCCTCCTGCCTCAACCCCTGCTGATCCCATCTCGGAGCCTTCCCTTGCAACGGCGGCAGTTGGCTCTGCACCAATTATCTCTGGTCTGGCTGCTGCTGCGAGTGGGCCTTCCCTGACACAATCACGTCTTAACTCGTCCGCCGGGTCTTTTATCCTCCCTGGAGCCGTCCCCCTCCGCTGTTCTGTGGCTGTAGCGCCGCATGCTTCACTGGAGTGTACTGCTGAGAGCAACCTGGTGCGAAGCTTAAGCAGCAGCCGTAGCAGGAGGGCGCGTGACAACCCTCAGCTACAGCCGCACGAGGAATATGAGTATCGACTAGACACGAGGGCCCGAGGAAGGGAGGGGGTGGGAGGAAGAGGCGGGGGAAGAGGCATGGAAAGTAAAGGAATTCGAGGTGCGGAGAGCAGGGAAGTAAGCTTGGCAGGAGAGGGAGGGAGGGCAAGGGGTATGAGCGTAGAGCAGCTTGAGGCGAGGGCAGGGAGGACAGAAGCTCGAGCTGAGGTTTCTAAGAGAAGTTCGTGGCTAAGTGGCCGAGGAGGGAGGAGAAGTGATAACCCCAGGAAGCAGCAGCGGCTGCTTCCCAGCGAGGACGAAGTGAAGGAGGCTGCGACTGATTGGCCAACGCTTGGAGCCACGTTGCGACGAGCCCTTGAGGCTGGGACTGATTTGGGGATCGGAAGCGCGCTTGGGACTGGTGGGAGTAGTGGGGAAGACAGGGAGGGGCAGGGTGCAGGGGTAGCGAAGGCGCAAGGGTGGAGCGTGTATGAAGGGCAGGGGGCAGGTGAAGGGGCGGCAGGCCTTGCAAGGGAAGAGCTGGGCCAGCAGGCTGAAGTACTGGCAGATCAGCTTAGAAATTGGCAGCGAGACCAATTTCAGCAGCAGCAGCAGCAGCAGCAGCAGCAGCAGCAGCAGCAGAGTTTTCCACAGTTCACTGCCAGCGGAGTGCCAGGCATTGAGGGGCTATGGAAGGGAGGAGGATGTGGAGCCAGTCCCAAAGTGGACTTCGAGTGCAGATTCTGTGGCAAGGGATTTGATTCTCCTCGCGCACTGGGCGGCCACATGAATCTGCACAGGAGAGGTGAGGCAGGCTGCATGCATGTGCTTGGAGTGACATTTTAATCCATTGGGATCCCCCCCGCCCTCCTTGAATTTCTAGTGCGTGAGAGATCTGTTCTAAATCTGTGCACGCGCCTGCACATGTGTGTGGGTGTGGGGGGCGCGCGCGCCCGCACGCGTGTGCTTGATTCTGTCATTATTGCGCAAAGGTCTTTCAATCGTGGAGCAGTACTGTTGGTCAGTCCTTCTCGTCAGAATTCCTCCTATCAAACCCTCATCCCCCCATTTTTTGCGTCTGTTTCTCATCTGTCACATCTGTTTCTCGTCTGTCACATCTGATTTTCGTCTGTCACATCTGTTTTTCATCTGTCACATCTGTTTCTGCCTGTGCTCTCTCTTGCGGCCAGAACGAAGGCTGGAAGACGTTTTTTTGCAGCAGGCAGAGACTCAAGCCCGGGCGGATTTGCAGATGCGGCAGCAGCAGCAGCAGCAACGACTGCTGCAGCAACACCAGGAGCAGCAGCAGCAACGGCTGCAGCTACAGCAGCAGGAGGAGCAGCAGCAACAGTTGCAGGCGCACCAAGCGGAGCAGCAGGAACAGCAGCTGCAGCAGCAACAAGGGCAGCAGCGGCTGCTGCTGTTGCAACAGCAGGAGCAGCAAGAACAGCAAAACCAACAGCAGCAGCTGCTGCAGCAGCAGCAACTGCAACAAGTTGATTCGGACAACCAGCAGCAACTGGAAGTGCTGATTCGAAAGCAGCAGCAGCAGCAGCAGCAGCTGATCCCTGCAGCTAACCCTTCCTTTTTTGGTGTGTCAAACAGCACAGGAAGCAGTGCTTCCGTGCAGAATCCCCATGGCCCTTCTTCCCTCACTCCCATAGCTCATCCCGCTGTCACTCCCATGGCTCTTCCTGGCGTTTCCGCCAGCATGGGTTCATCTCCTGCCACGGGTCATGGTGTGACTGGTGAATGGGTTGCAGTACTTGGTCCTGGTGTGGGTGGTGTGGGCAGTTTTAGTGGTATTGGTGGTTCGGGTGGTTTAAGCGGCCTTCCATTGATGCACGGTGGTGGAGTGAAGCAGGATGGAGGGAGCCAGCAGGAGCACATGCAGATAGACCCGGAAAGCCCTTGGCAGTATCAGCTGCAGCAGCTGCAGCAACAGCAACATCAGCTATCCCTGCAGCAGCAGCAGCAGCAGCAGCAGCAGCAGCAGCAGCAGCAGCAGCAGCAGCAGCAGCAGCAGCAGCAGCAGCAGCAGCTCCAATGCCAGCAGCAACAGGATCAGCAGCTCCAGCAGCAGCAGCAACGAGAACGTTACCGACAGCAACTGCAGCAGCAGCAGCAGCGGCAGCAGCAGCAGTCGCAGTTTGCACGGCCCAGGCCACCAAAGGCTGTTTCCAGCAGGCCTCAGAGGGAGGTGCCTTCATCCCTCTCCCACACTCCCACATCCAGGCCTCCTCACACAGCCACGTGGCAGTCAACCCTGTTCAACCCATCCCCACTGCACCGTCAGCTACCCCCTCTTCCCCCTGCAGTCCCCCTCCTCTCCACCCTCTCTCCCGAAGCCCTCCAATCTCTCTTCCTCCACTCCTGCCCCCCAGGGACAGCCCCTACAGCCGCTGTAACACCACTTGCGGTTACCACCGCATCCTCGCCTGCCCATCCAGCTTCTGTTCCTCCTTCGCTTCCTCCCCCGCCCATCGCTCCTGTATTGCCAGTTTCCCACCCCTCTCAGCAGCAGTTCTTACTTGCTGATTCCGTACCCACTCTGCTAGGGGTTCCACCTGCTGTGTTGGCAGCACTCATTACATCTGGTGTACTACCACCTGGCGTTACACCTGGGGTTACGTCTGGCATTTCATCTGAACGACCAGTGTCTGCCCCACCTGTAGTGGCAGCAGAGGAGCAGCAGCAGAGTGGCGTGCAAAGGATGCAGGTGAATGAGCAACTGACCCCAGTGCAGCAGTGGCCACCGCAGCAGGAGCAGAGGCAGTGCCAGCAGCAACAGCAGCAGCAGCAACAGGAACAGCTTCAGCAGCTGCAGGCGATGGAAATTTCTGGAGAATTGAAAGGGGAAGGGGAGAGTGCACGAGTGCAGGCAGGGGCAGATTCCGAGCAAGGGCAGATGGCCGGAGGTAATGTGGCATGGCTGCGACCCCACGGGCGACTGCAGTCAGGGCAGCGCCAGCAGCAGCAACTGCAAGAGCAGGAGTTGTTAAGGCAGCTGTTGGCGCTGTCAGGGCAGCAAGAAGCGCCATGCATGGGTGGGGTTTTGCAGCAGCTGGGAGAGCAGCAGCAGGGGGGGCAGCAGCAGGGGGGGCAGCAGCGGCAGGGAGAGAGCAGTGCAGCAGGAACAGAATGTGGGGGCGCACAGAATGTGGTGCAGGGATCTGGTGGAGGAGGAGAGGGGTCGCTGCATGGTACCAGTGCTTTGGATTGGCTGCCTGCAGGCTCATACCTCCAGAGCTTAGCTATGCCTGGCGTCACTATGCCCGGTGTCACGATGCCTGGTGTCTCTATGCCTGGTGTCATGATGCCTGGGGTCTCTATGCCTAGTGTCACAATGCCTGGTGTCACTATGCCTGGTGTCACTATGTCTGGTGTCACTACACCCAGTGGGCCTATGCCTGGTGTGACTTTGTCTGAATCTTCTACTGCGCTTCCTTTCCTGACCTCTGGGCCTCTTGCCTCTGAACTTGCCTCCGCCCTTGCGATTTTCTCGCCGTCACTGGTTGCTGAATGCGGCTCTGCAACTCCTGGTGCTGCTACTCCCCTGGTTACTCCACAGTACGGTTCTTTAGCTGGTGGCGTTTCATCTCATGATCCTTTACGTGCTGCCATTTCATCTCATGATCCTTTACGTGGTGCCATTACATCTCCTGGAGTCCATGCCCCATGGATTCCACCTGCCTCCATCCCACCATTTCAGCAGCATACCTTCCCCTCCTTGCAGCAGCCCTTGTCGGCGCAGCAGCAGGAGCCATTGACCAGTGGATTCACCTCTGGCCAGCAGCAGCAACCATTGACTCCTCAGCTTGCCTTGGGCCAGCAGCAGGAGGGTGGCTTTCTGCCGGGGCGGCCAGTGCAAGGAGAAGGTGTGGGAGGGATTGAGGAGGAAGAGCTGGCTAGGCTGGAGCAGCTTCGCCAGTTGTTGCTCTTACAGGAGCAGCTTATGGGGGGACAGCCGGGGGGAGAGGAGCTTCAGCTGAGGAAGCAGAGGCTGGGGGGGATGAGAGGTGTGGGATGGTGTGGTGACTTGAACCAGCGGCTGGAGACAGAGGGTGAAGTGGACGCAAAGCACGAAAGGCAGTGCCGCTCAGAGGAATGGGTGCAACACAGAACGAAGGGGTCAGCTGGGAGGAAGGATCTGGATGTTCCCACGCATGGGAGTAACGAGGAGTAGAGCAGAAATGTGCCTCTGTTGTATGCGAGAATTGCTCTGTCAGAATTCCAAGATTGTTTTGGTGATTCTTTTATGAATGTGGTGTGATCGTTGATTTAGGTGTTTTGGGGAGTTTTGTGTAGCTTCGAGCTTCCAGGTGCCATTAGGCATTATTAGGCCCCAAATGGCATCTCACATTTCAACACAAATATTTGGATGCCAACCATTAACAAATACTTGGATAACAATCTAGAGACTACCGTGCAATATTCTGTACTAGTACGCAATACTAAAGCGGGACTGGCAATTCTAGACTCGGGTACTGTACCGAGTCTCGTCTACACCCCATCACGACCGTCCAGTTCACCCCACACCTGCATCTGATGGCATTTCTTCTTTCCATGTGGACACACCTAGGGAAGCCGAGCATAACAGAGCTCATTTGCTTGCTGCTGGATGTGTGTCTAGGGCGTGGGCTCAGCTGTTGCTGTTGCTTGCCGCATCCTCGCTTGCGTTACACCATGGCTTCTCAAGCGAATGTGGAACTCTCGAGAACGCTTTCGCATGAGCCGTCTCGCTCTCCCTCGATTATGCCGCGACCTTTGGCCTCGGCAAGCGGCGTTTCTTTCCTGCTTGACCAAACCTCAGCAACGGTCCCCGTTGTAACGTCTGCGGACGGAATCACCCTAGAGTGTAGAAACGCATTCCGCTGCGCCTCTGGGTAACCTCGTTTTGACCCAGTGGGTAGCGAGGTGTTACACTGGTATCAGAGCTTAGGGTTCGAGCCCCGGCTGGACACATTTTCCGAGCACGGCTGAGGTCGTGGCGAGAACTCGAATGTGCGAAAATACAACTGCGGTTGTATCCAGTCGCGAACCCAGCGAACGATCCTCGTAACCGCTGTGCATCACCAGCGAAGTCGCTGACTTGGTCTACCAGCGAATCTCGAGGTCCTTGTGGGGGCCGACTCCCTGAACCCAACGAGGACGTTGGCACCAGGGGGGGACGAGTGTAACGTCTGCGGACGGAATCACCCTAGAGTGTAGAAACGCATTCCGCTGCGCCTCTGGGTAACCTCGTTTTGACCCAGTGGGTAGCGAGGTGTTACACCCGTAGACTTGAATTTTCGATCAAGGGTCAGGATCGCTCCGAGCCCCACGTGCACGCATGCTCGATTTGCTAGGCTGGCATGCACACGCTAGGAGCAAGTGAGCGGCATTCTAACGTCGGATAGCTCATCGTCGCGTTTCGTCACGTATTATTTACGTTTTTTCGTACAAGAGACGCTAGTAACCAGAGAGAGGAATTATTCTATCCAAACCAATTTCCAGTGAGTGGTTCTTCTATCCTTCCTTTTATGATTTCCTCGTGGTTTCTGCCGCCATTGATGGAGGCTCTTCGGCGATTTCCAGCAGCGATGTCCAGACTTTTGCCTATTGAGCGCATAATTTTTTACTGGCTAGTGAATGGTGTTTTGAGGGGACGCACGGGTTTGAAGGCACATCTCTGTCGGATTCTGCAGTTTTTCTGGCTGGTTGATTCTTACTCGTGGCTTTCAATTCGAAGGTAGTAACGCCTCCTCTCTCACGGCGCGAAAGTGCATAGATGATTACCTTTTGAGATGAAGTTTGGTGAGAGAGAGGGAGGGAGGGAGGGGGGAGGGGGGGAGGGGGGGAGGGGGAGAGGGGGGGAGGGGGGGATGGAGAGAGAGAGAGAGAGAGAGAGAGAGAGAGAGAGAGAGAGAGAGAGAGAGAGAGAGAGAGAGAGAGAGAGAGAGAGAGAGGGAGCGGAATATCAGTAACGTGTGTGCCGTAAAATTTCCGACCAACGTGTGTGTGTTTGTTGTGGCTAGTGTGTCGTATTCTCAGAGATCAGAGCCCCATCCATACGTCTCACGACTAGCTCTGCGGCATGATGCATCCTTCACATCATGACGACGCGCCGCCTCCTGTAAGCGCTCCTACAATGGACCCAACTGCCGGTTTAGATTCGGTCGCTGCTACGTCTACTGCTGCTCCAGCGTCGCACTCTACGCTCGCTGCTCTCCCCGCTGCCTCACTTGCGGCGGATCCACTTCAGGAGCCTTCCCGTGCATCTGCACCATCCGCTGCTGTCTCCACATTGGCCGCCGCGGGTCTTGCTGCAGCGCCGGGCATGGGGGGGTTCTGGAAGGGAGGCCCTGGAGGGAGGCTTGGAACCGGCTCCGAAGTGGACTTGGAGGGGAGGTTCAGTGGCATGGGATTTGATATTTCTCTGACGCTTGGAGGCCACATGAACCTCCACAGGAGTGGTGTGCTGCATGTGCGTGGCATGGAATGAAAATTGTCAACACTTGTTTGGGTTCCCGAGCAACCTATTCCAATCGATCGAACAGATTTTTTTTTCAAGTTTTGGTGGTAAAAAAATAAAAACTCAAGAATTGAACATTGTCTTTAACTTACTAGCATTTGATATCTGAATCTAGTTGGTCCTGGTCTTTGCTACAGCAGACAGAGACGCGCTGGCCTCTGTGAAAGTTGAGCTGCTGAGACGACACACCTGAACTGACCTGGGAGAGCTGCGCCGCTACCTTGGCCTGCAGATCTCCAGGGACAGAGCAGCGCGCACCATCACTCTTACACAGTCACACTTGGTGCGCCAGGTCCTTCAGAGGTTCGGTCTTCAGTTCTCCTCCGCACAGCCCACACCTCTGCCAGTAGACCACAGGCTCTCAGCTCTAGTTCCCGAGGAGTCAGCAGAGCCCAGTAATCCTTACGCAGAGCTGGTGGATTGCCTCATGTACCTGATGATTTGCACTCGCCTAGATCTCGCATACCCTCTCAGCATCTTGGCCCGCTTTGTGGCCACAGGCAGACACCGACCACAGCACTGGTCAGCCGCTAAGAGGGTTTTGCGTTATCTTGCGAGTACATCGGGCATGGGGCTAGTGCTGGGAGGACGCAGGCCAGAGGTCCTTACTAGGCACACAGACGCTTCTTGGGCAGACAACGCTGAGACCCTCCGGTCCTCCCAGGGCAACTGCTTCAGCCTTGGTTCTGGTGCCATCTCGTGGAGGTCCACTCGCCCCTCATCTGTTGCTCAGTCTAGCTGCGAGGCTGAGATCTGCGCTGGTGCCATGGTGGCACAGGAGCTCTGCTGGCTGACCTTCTTGCTTCACGACTTAGGTGAGCGGCCTAGCTCTGCCCCTGTTCCGTACGCTGACAACTGGGTCATGATCCTCCTGTGTCAGGAGCCTCGACTTGAGGGCAGAGTGAAGCACATCCAGCTGCGGTACTTCCTCCTGCCCGAGCTTCAGCAGCGTCGCCAGGCCCGCGTAGTACACTTGGCCTCGGGTGCCAACACAGTTGATATCTTTACTAAGGCGCTTCCGCCTAGAAATCATCAGCGGCACTGCTTGCAGTTAGGTCTAGTCCCTATTGACTCTCACTTGCTAGGCCCTTGATTGTGTACTCCTTTCTATTTATACCTTGCCGACTGGCCTTGTGGCTTTTCCTCCAGTGGTTGGACTAGTAGTGCCGCCCTGGTTTGCTCTGTATTGCTTGTACTCTTGCTGACTGGTCTTCGGGCCCCTGCCTTAGAGGTTGGACTTGTAGTGCCACCCTGAGCTGCGTGTTTCTTGCTCAGCACTACCCCTTATCTAGCCTAGGGGGTGTGTCAACTTATACATGTATTGTTATGTAGAAGTTATAGGCCAGATAGGGTATGTTCTTAATGGGCACAACCCAAACACTATATCTCCCATGTTCTCCCTTCTTCTATTCATTCTTTCTAGTCTTAGCAGCTTATAAAAAAATCGTGGAATCAAATAGAAAGAGTAAGGTAAAAACATAACACTGGCACAAAACGGATCGGGAGAGAGATTGAATGGAACGGGTAAGGAAGATTGAGATAGGAAACGAAACTGAAGGTGGCACAAGGATGGAATGGAATGGACAAGGGAGAAAAACGAAGAACTGAAAATAAAGGAGGTGGCGTAGATGGAAGAGAGAGATATGGTAGGGGAGGTGAATGGAGGAAAGGAAAGGGATTGTGCTTACCGCGTCTTCAAAATGCAAACTGAGGATGCAAATATGGAGGAAGAGAGAAGTAAGAACTCAATGTAAAGGAAGGGGAAGGCTTGGAGTATAGAAGAGGAAAGCGGATGAGAATTTGTACCGAGTATCTAAGCTGAAAGAGGCCATATGCGTTTCCTCTGTCACGAAGCTAGGTTAGCTAAGAAAGGTAGGGCGGCCATGAAATGGCGAGAGGTTTAGGATCTAGGAGGGAAAGTTGACGAGAGGAAAGAGAGCGAACTAGAAGAGAGAGAAGCACACAAGGAGGGAATTGTACCCTCTACAGAAGAGTTCGATAACCTACCAAGCCTACAATTATATAACAAATATAGTTTAACACACCCCCTAGGCTTGGTAGCGGCAAGCCCACCACACACACAGCACACACCCCCTAGCAACCTCATACTCAGCAGCAGCAACACGACTTCAGCACGGTCAACCCCACGGCGCGTGAGGTGGAGCGACGTCGACAACGAGGGCAGCGGCTGCAACGGCGGCAGCGTCGACAGTGGCGGCGGCGGCGGCGTGCGGCGGCGTGGCCAGCTGCACCAGCTGCGGCGGCGGCGGCTTCGACGACAGCTGCCAGCGGCGGGCGAGCTCGCTTCACTCGGCGGCATGGCCGGGCTCCGCGACGGTGGGACGGCCGGCGCGAGTCAGCCGTCGGCTGCGGCAAGGAAGAGGGGACGCAGGGGAAGGGGGCCGGGGCTTTAGAGCGGAGCCCGAGAGCGTGCCGGCCCGTGTGGCGCGCTGGTTGCATGCGGGCATGCTGGCCAGCACTAAGACGGGGCGCTGGCCGCTGCCGTCCGTGCCGTCCGCGCGCTGTCGCATAGACGCCGCGGCAGCATGACGGCGCCGTCACGCCGCCACGGCTTGACGTGAACGCCGTGACAGCGCGACGCCACGGCAGCGCGTCGCGACAGCACGACGCGGCCGGCGGCACGACGACGCGGCCGCCATGGCAGCGAGAGAGAGAGAGAGAGAGAGAGAGAGAGAGAGAGAGAGAGAGAGAGAGAGAGAGAGAGAGAGAGAGAGAGAGAGAGAGAGAGAGAGAGAGAGAGAGAGAGAGAGAGAGAGAGAGAGAGAGAGAGTCATGTCACAAAGCTAGGTTAGCTAGGAAGGTAGG